GCATCACGAATTATAATAGCTCTCTGATCAACTCTGATCTCTTTAATATGTTCGTCTCCTTCATAGATTTCCTATTTATATAATTAATTCATATCCTGTATTCCATTCATAACCGATAGACAAGTATCGAAGAAAAAATATAATTTTTTTTTTTGCGGTTATTTTTAAAATTCTTCATTTTCTTTTTACAATGAATATTGACTGCGCGTAATTTGATTCTCGATAATAAAAATTGATAAAAAATTATCTATTTGAAGATGTTCACAATGTCTTCTTTTTGTATGCAAATATATATATATATATGTATATGGAGAAATTATTGGCGCGTAGATATCGAAGGAATATATTAATCGACTTTTCGAAAATGTTGATTGACATAAAACTATTAAATATTTAGGAAAATTTATTCTTGTTTTATAAATTAAAAAAAAAAAATTCCAGATTATTTAATTTTTACTAATACCCTGTGAGTGTAATTTAATTTTGTATCATGTGATATCAGAAAAATGGTTTATTGCCCTTTTTCTCAAACTCCAATTTTAAGATTCTATTTTTTATTTTAATGTTGTTAAGCAGGATGTTGAAAAATTTAGATCTGCAGACAGTGGTGTGAATAATGGATATAGAGATGTGTTCTGTGCTCGCTATTTAAAGACGTGAATATATATAAATTTAAAAAAAAAATTTTTTTAATTTTTTTAAAAAATTTAAAAAAAAAATTTTTTTTAATTTTTTTAAAAAATTTAAAAAATAAATTTTTTAAACCTTACAATTTAAATAAAAAAAGACAATAAGGTTAAATATTTCTTTAAAAGCGATAGTTTTTAAGAAAATTTCAAAAAAAATTTGGTTTTTTTTAAATTTAAAAAAAATTTTTTTAAAAAATTTAAAAAAACAAATTCTTTTAAACCTTTAAATTTAAATAAAAAAAGGACAATAAGGTTAAAAATTTCTTTAAAAAACAATATAGTTTTCAAAAAAAATTTAAAAATAAATTTTTAAAAAAAATTTTTTTAAACTTTAAAATTTAAATAAAAAAAGACAATAAGGTTAAAAATTTCCTTAAAAACGATAGTTTTTAAGGAAATTTTTAACCTTATTGTCTTTTTTTATTTGAAGTATTTAATATATTTAAGATTAAAACAAAAAAAAGGGACAAAGTTAAAGAAAAGGAGACAAGCCAAAAAAAAGGAAGGAAGAGATGAAAAAGTTCAATTTAAGAAGCACTTTTCTTGAATGTATCTATATCTGGCCTATGAATTACTAAAGTCCCTCCACGTATCTTCTTTCCAAGGAAGAAACCAACCGACCCCTCACCCCTCTTCTTTTACAGGAGAACTTTACGATAATCCGTCAAGTGTACATGGCTATGTAATCCATCAGGTCGCACGACTGCAGGTGGCCATGCGAAAGAAGAAGGGACGCGCAATTAAATTATCCTCAAGAAATGTCTGACTCTCATTGTCGGGAGTAACCGCACAAAAAAAAAAAAAAAAAAAGAAGTTGAAATTTCAAAAATGCACAAGATTTTCATGTGACGTATATATAAACAATGTACCTTGTATACTATTCTTTATTTCATGAGACTTATGTCACCGCAAAAGGGATACTAATATTTCACGCATATAAAATTTTGAAAAACTACCGAATAATACTTTCAAGCTTTTTTTTTTTTATAAGAAAATAAAAAAGTAAACGTTTTTATGCAAAATCACTTTTCAATTTTTTTACGATGCAATATTTATCAAAATATATTATCAAAAATGTAAATTTTATCGATTTGGAAAATTTTATAATTAATAAAATAATTTAGTTTTTAATGTATACATATGAAATAGAATAAAATAATTATTTTTGCTTCTTATAAGCAAAAACAGTTTGCAACTATTGATTTCTGTGATTATAAGCCAAAAATCATAAATTTCAAATAAAATTACTTTAAATTGATTTTTGCAACTATTTAAATGGCCTTAGGGCCACTTTTTTAAAAGCAAAATTTCAGCTGTTTGAAATGCAATTTTTATTAATACAATATTCTCAACAATTTTAACGAAAAATTAACATATCTTCAGGTGTAAATTTAAACAATGAAAATATAGCTTCTAAAAATTATATTAAAATTAATTAACTTAAAATTAGAATTTATAATCTTAGAATTTTTTCATTCTAATTTTTTAAAATTCAATTATTTTTTATATTTTTAATTATATATATAAGAAAACTTAAATACATAGAAAAAATAAGAAAATTTAAATTTTTAAGAATTATTTTTATTATTTTTGCGAGAAAACAATCATGTTCAAAATTTTTAATTAAAATTCTTGAAAAAATGAATTTGTTTTTTTTTTAATTATATGCGAAAATTCTTGTAAGAAATTTTATTATTTTCAAAAAATTACATTGGAATATTTTTAAAGAACTAATTTTTAAAATTGTTTTATTATAATTTTTTAAGATTCAATTATATCTTTGAACAAAAGTAAACTAAAATTTTTAAAAACTTATTTCTTTATTCTTTTTAAAATTACAGAGAAATCATATGTTTAATATATTTATAATTAAAATTCTTTGAAAATTTAATTTTTTTTTATATTTTTCAAAAATTCAAATTTTTTTTTCAATTTTTCAATTTAATTCATTATTTTTAAAAGATTTTACAAAATTTTCAATTATTTTTAAGACTTTACCAAATTCACATTATTTTTTAAAAATTTTACCAAATTTCAATTAGGGAGCGTTCACAAATTACGTAACATTATAAAGGGGAGGGGGGGGGTCTAGCTATTTGTTATGTACAGCAGAAAAAAATGGCGCTAATGTATATGTAACAGTGTATTACATCCCCAAAATTTTCAAAAATTAGCGTTACGTAATTTGTGAATATTTTTAAAAAAATTTTACCAAAATTTAATTGCTTTTCAAAGATTTCACTGAATTTCAATTATTTTAAAAAGATTTTAATAAATTTAAATTGTTTTAAAAACATTTTAACAAAATTCAATTATTTTAAAAAGATTTTATCGAAATTACAATTACTTTTAAAGGATTTTACTAAATTTCAATTATTTTAAAAATGAGTTTACCAAGTTACAATTATTTTAAAACGATTTTACTGAAATCCAAATATTTTTAAAAAATATTTGACTAAAATTCAATTTTTTTAAAAAGATTCAACCAAAAATCAATTACTTTTGAAATATTTTACTGAATTTCAATTATTTTTAAAAAATTTTATTAAAATTTAAATATTTTTAAACGATTTTATAAAAATTCAATTATTTTAAAAAGATTTTATCGTAATTCAATTACTTTTAAAGAATTTTACAAAATTTCAATTATTTAAAAATGATTTTACCAAAATTCAATTATTTTAAAAAGATTTAACCAAAATTAAAATATTTTAAAAAGATTTTACGAAAAATCAATTATTTTTAAAAAATTTGACCAAAATTCAAATTTTTTTAAAAATATTTTATCGAAATTAAATTACTTTTAAAGGATTTTACTAAATTTTAATTATTTTAAAATGATTTTACCAAATTTCAATTATTTTAAAAGGATTTTAATAAAATCCAAATATTTTAAACAATTTTACCAAAATTCAAATATTTTAAAAAGATTTTACGAAAATTCAATTACTTTTTAAAAAATTTTACCAAATTTCAATTATTTTTAAAACGATTTTACCAAAATTTCCATTATTTTTAAAAGGTTTGAATTATTTTTAATTAATTGCAAATTTTTTCAATGGCATATAATTGAAAGACTAATATTTATTTAAAAAAATTAATTTTAAGAATTTCTTTATTGTAATTTATAAAAATATTATACTTTACTAAACTTTAAAAAAAACATGATATAAGTTAAAGTTACAAATTTACAATTATAAAAAATTAAGTTTTTGTATTTAAATAATTGAATTTTCGAAAAACTTTTGGAAAATTATTAAAAATTTTAGATTTATAGAGATGAAGTTCAATTAAAAAATGGTAGAAAACAATTGAATTTTGGAATAATTGTAATTTTTAGATATTATTAAATTTATAAGATTTTAGGTTGAATTTTAAAAAAATTTTATTTTCCATTGAAAAATAAATAAATATTTTAATATATTGATTTAACAAAATTATTCAAGTTTCGAATCACAATTAGAAATCAGGAAAATAGAAAATAAAATTTTGACTCGGGTCAACAAAATTGTTACAAACATAAAAAAAAAAATACAAAAAAAAAGAATAAAATGATTAAAAATATCTACGAAAGTGCAAAATAATTTAAAATTTAATTTAAAATCCATCAAGTTGAGAAATTGAAGCTGATTGAAGTTAAATTCCCGCATTTATCGAGATGACTTATTTTCTCCGCAGAGAAATTTGCTCGCCTTTAATATTTCTGATAGAAAATCATTAAAATCTTATACTTGCGATATCTCAAAATTTAAACGTTTCTCTTGCGCGGTTCGAATATTGAATTTTAATTTAATCTCCTTAAAAATTAACATTTACTGAAATACTTATAATTTTGTTAAAAAATTGTAATTTAATTTTCCTTTTTTAACGCGGTTGAATTTTTTTCTGTTTTTAAATCGAATCTTAATGTTTAATTTTCAAAATTTATAATATAATAATCTCGAAGATTATTAATATTTAGTAAATTACATTATAAACTTATAAAGATGACTTAGGATATTTTTATTATTTGTTATTGATCGTAATTTGGAAATTATTATTTTTTATTTTATTTTTTATTCTTTTCTATTTTTTTATTATATTTTCAATTCTTTTCTATTTTTTTATTATATTTTCTATTCTTTTCTATTTTTTTTATTATATTTTCAATTCTTTTCTATTTTTTTATTATATTTTCTATTCTTTTCTATTTTTTTTATTATATTTTCTATTTTTTTCTATGGTTTTTTTTTCACCGAAGGTTTAGAGGGTAATTTAAGAAGTGTTTAGTAAATTTTGAAATATTGCAAATCGAAGGTAATATTCACGTACCTGTACTCTGGCCTCCGTCAAATCAATTTTCATTGCGATCTCTTCTCTGGTGTAGATGTCAGGGTAGTGCGTTTCCTGAAAGGCACGCTCGAGTTCTTTGAGTTGCGCAGAAGAAAACGTCGTTCGTATCCGACGTTGTTTTCTTTTTTCCGCTAGACCATCATGACCGGAATATGCTTTATAACTTAAACCACCTGCAAGGAAATAAAAATCATTATTTAAATATTATATTATTTATTGTATTATTTTTAATTTTTACAAATTTACAAATTTTTAATTTTTACAAATTTTCAATTTTTACAAAGTTTCAATTTTTAAATGAAAATTTAAAAATGAAAAGATAAAAGTAATAAATCAGGTTCAGATTATTATCAATTTCCCTGCCAATTTACTGACATTAAAATTATTTTTCCTGACAAAATACTTTTTTACAGGAAAATATTTTATGAAAGTATTTACGAAAAATGAGTAAAATTTATGAAATTTTAATAATTTCTAAAAACTAAAATTATAACCCTTTCTGAATTCAATTATTTTCTACAATTTACAACTAAACTTCATCTCTACATCAATTATTATTATATTAAATAATTTAACGAAAGTTTTATTAAAATTCAATAATTTAAATACAGAAATTCAATTCCTTATAATAACTGTAATTGCCCATATTTTTTTCTTAAGTTATTAAGGCATAATATTTTTAAAAAATTATAATAATAAAGAAATTCTTACAATTCGTTTTTTAAAAATATGGTAAAATATTTTAAAATAATTTTTGAAAGATATAATAGTTTTTTAAATTATATTATATACAATTGAAAAATTTCCAATTAAATGAAATTTGGTAAAATCGTTTTAAAAATAATTGAACATTGGTAAAAGTTTTTAAAAATAATTAAAATTTAATAAAATTTTTTTTAAATAATTGAATTTTTGTAAAATCTTTTTAAAATATTTGAATTTTTGTAAAATTTTTTAAAAATAATTGAATTTTGGTAAAATTTATTTAAAATAATTGAAATTCAGTAAAATCTTTCAAAAGTAATTGAATTTTGGTTGAAATCTTTTAAAAATAATTGAATTTTAGTAAAATCCTTTTAAAATAATTGAAATTTAGTAAAATCATTTTAAAAATAATTGAAATTTGGTAAAATCCTTTAAAAGTATATAATTGAATTTCGATAAAATCTTTTTAAAATAATTGAATTCTGGTAAAATCGTTAAAAAATATTTGAATTTTGGTAAATTTTTTAAAAATAATTAAAATTTAGTGAAATCTTTCAAAGTAATTGAATTTTGTTTAAATCTTTTTAAAATCATTGAATTTTGGTAAAATCTTTAAAAAATATATTTGGATTTTAGTAAAATTCTTTTAAAATAATTGAAATTTGGTAAAATTAATTTTAAAATAATTGAAATTTTGTAAAATCCTTTAAAAGTAATTGAATTTTGATAAAATCTTTTTAAAATAATAATAGAGTTAAAGTTATCGATCACCCCGAGTCAGGTTGAAAAAATATAACAAAATTATATTTTTAACGTTTCAATGGCACGGCCGCTTTATTTTTATTTTTCTTTTATTTATTTTTATTTTTATTTTTAAAATAATTGAATTTTGGTAAAATCTTATAAAAATATATTTGGATTTTAGTAAAATCCTTTTAAAATAATTAAAATTTCGTAAAATCCTTTAAAAATAATTGAATTTCAATATATCTTTTTAAAATAATTGAATTTTGGTAAAATCGTTTAAAAATATTTGAATTTTGTTAACATTTTTTAAAAAATAATTAAAATTCAGTGAAATCTTTCAAAACTAATTGAATTTTAGTTAAATCTTTTTAAAATAATTGAATTTTAGTAAAATCATTTAAAAATATATTAGGATTTTAGTAAAATCCTTTTCAAATAATTGAAATTTAGGAAAATCCTTTAGAAGTAATTGAATTTCGATAAAACCTTTTTAAAATAATTAAATTTTGTTAAAATATTTTTAAAATAATTTAAATTCAGTGAAATCTTTTTAAAATAAATGAATTTTGGCATAATATTTTTAAAATAATTAAAATTTTAAAAATATAGAAATAAAAATAATCGAATTTTTAAAGAATTTTATTTATAATCTTAAGAAAATTATGATTAAAAAATTTTAAGAATTAGTTTTTAAAAATATGTTAATGCAATATTTCTAAAATAATTGAATTTTAAAAAAAAAATTTGTATAATTTAAAAAAACTAATTAATTTCATGAGGAATTGTAAATAGTTGAAAATACTGAAAATATTGAATTTTAAAAAATTAGAAGCTAATTTTCATTAATTTTCATTTTTAAATTTACATTTAAAGATTTTTCATTAAAATTTTTGATAATTTAAAAATTATTTTCAAATTTTTCTATTAACACTCTTTAAAAAGTTAATTTTCAAAAATTGTAACAAAATAGTTGAAAACAATTAATTATTTTCAATTAAATTTTACAAATTTTCAATTATTTAAAACGATTTTTATTATATAGATAAATTGGAAAAATTTAATCATCTTAAGAAATTGTCCAACAATCTCAGAATAGTTGGTCTTTTAGAAAATAGTATGTAAAATATGTATTATTCTTTTTTAAAACGTCATTTCTAACTTTATTTATAAAAAAATAATTAAATTTTTCTTTTCTAAAATTAAATAATAAGATAAAAATTTAATTTAAATTTTATTTTAACATCATTGCTCATTGCCAGTATATATATATTTTTTGTGTATTCGTTATGGAATTGCATTTTATGAAATATTAAATATCGTAAACTGAATAATTTACAAACAGAAACGACGTTTCATAACTAATAAATTTCGTTACAGATATAGAAATTCTAATTTTATTAAAGATTTTTATTTCTAATTTAATTATTAACGAGACCGTAAAAGAATACGTCAATTATTATATTTTTTTTTCTTTTTAGTGCGATTTTCATTAAATTTCAAGCTAATTCAATGAATTAAAAAAGAATGTTTCCCATATTGGATCCGCCATTTTGAATTTTAAAAAAACAAACCTCGAATTCTTAATCAGCGTCTCTATAAAAACCTTTAAAAATAATTATTTGTTTTTAAAATTTTCCTTTCCCCTTTCGCGGGGTGTTAAAGGGTTAAAAAAACAAGTAGTTTCATTTTCTTTGAGTGAAACTTTTAATTTAATGAGGGAATCCCCATGGTTAAGGAATGGTGACAAGAAAAATTATTTTTTTTTATTAAAACAATTGAAATAAAGACAAAAACTTTTAATTTTTAAAATTTTTGTACCAATAAGCGAAAAGTATGACAGAGCAAAGGTGCCATACTTTTTCCATAGTACAAAATTTTGACAATAAATTTTTAAAATATAAAAAAATCTTCTTTTCTTCACCTCCTGCTTTACCATCTTTTACCCACACTTTCATTATGGTTATGTATAGATTTTAAAGAGTAATTTATAAAAAAAAGATAAGTATAACGTACCATAAAAATGAAAGAATAGAATATAAATTTAGGAAAATAATATTTTCTTCTTTGTAATTGTTCGGGAAGAAGAAATTCGATGGTTGGCGAGGATGGCTGCTTGGTACAGTGAGGGACGTAACCATAGCAATGACTGAGTGAAAGAGGGAAAGGGAGGAGGGAGGGAGGGAGTGTACGGGATAAGAGGAACACCAAGAGCGACAGAAAGACAAACACAAAGCGAAAGAGAGAGGGAAAGAGGGAGAGAAATACGAGAGATAGATATACGATATAGGGATATGATGGGGGTAAAAACGGATTCGAAAAGGGAAGGATAAGAGAGAATCCGTCCATCGAGAGGAATATAATATGTGTAGGAAGAAGGAAAGAGACAAGAGATTCCATCCATTGATTTTCAGTGCCATCTTGTCGTCGCGCTTCAAGCCGACGGTTACTTACAACGTCTACTGTATGTATGTATGTACACACAGACAAACCAGACACGTCTCTGATGCGACATTCTGTCAAAAAAGAATTTTTTTTTTTATTTTTAATTTTTCTCGGAATTCGACTTATTATATATTGCAATCGGTCCATTAATTCATGAATTTGATGATGTTTCACCAAACTCCTTTTCTTTTTAAATATATACAATTTTTAATTTGAAATCATTTTCCTAATTTCATTAACACCGAGTCAGAGGTGCCCGTAATGAGAGAGAAAAGGAAAACATATATTTCTATCCTTTTCCCTCGCATTTAAGATTCAAACGAATCACAGTTCTAGAAACATTAGGGCCAATTTGCAATAAAAAGTGGTACGCTTCCCATGAGATAGAGAAGGATATATACACAATGGTGCAGGACTAACAGACATACATGATTTTTTTATTTCTCGTTTTGCAATCGTACGAATTTGGCGTAAAAACAATGAATTTATTCAGTTTGTTTAGAATTTTCAATGATGAAAAGTGTCAACAAATTATTTATAAAGATTTTTAGAGATAATCTAGCTTTTTAGTCTTTTCGAGTCAAAAACAGTTGATAACGTTTTGACGGTAGCGCCGTCCTCGTCAGTGTAAAGAATTACGTTAAAAAAAAATATATGTGAAGCTTTGCGAAAAGTGTCCTAAGAAGCAAACTTTTATAGGTTATGTTTATTTTAAATGGAAATGCCCCTAAAGTTAAAAGTCTCAATCTATGTACGCATTTAAATCTTCATTACGATATTTACACTTTTTAGATTTCCAAACCCCCCTTCCTTCACACATCCTAACTGCAATCCCACACTATTATTACTCAAGGGTTTTTGGGGTCTAATGTCAGATTTTCAAAATTTTCAAAATTCAAAATGGCGGATCCAATATGGCGGACATTTTTTTTTTCAAAATTTCTCAAATTTACAGCAATCTTGTTACTCGGGGGTTTTTAGGGGTCGCTGGCGAATCTGAAGTCAGATTTAAAAAATTCAAAATGTTGACCCCGAATAACAAGCTTCAAGCGAATTTGAGATTTGAAAAAAAGTCCACCATTTTGAATTTTTGGAAAATTTTTAAAATCAGCTTTAGATTTGTAATCAGCTACTCCGAAAACCCCGCGCGGTGAAAGAAGTTTTAAGCTTCTGAAAAATTAGATTTCGCTTTTTTCTAATAAATATTTTAACCTATTTGTTTATAATAATTATAATCGTAATAAGTAATTTATTATTTTTTTAAATTATAGCAGCAGTCATTCTCGGAATAGAAAGAAATTTACCAGAAATTAATTGGTTGACTCTTATAAGAATAACATAAATTTTTCTAAGTGGGACACATAATATGTCCCGAAGGCACGATAGGGTTATAATAACAGTTATAAAAAAATTATTTTTTAAAATCTATTAAGGTAAACTAATAATTATACTCGAACAATTGATACGCAACAATAATTTATTTATTACAGAAAATTTATATCGTTATTTAAAGAAATCTTATAAATTACTGGGACATTCATATATGGTTTTCTGAATATTCTCGTACTATGAGTTATATATGAGAGAAAAAGGGGAATCCCCCTTGGTGTAAATTTAGAAAGAATGCAAAAATATCTTTCGAACAAGAAGTAGTACTTGAAGATACTTAAGGAAGGTAGGTAATAATTAATTATTTTGGAATTTGCAATTAAGTCATTATGTATTAAGATTACTTGTCCCAATTTCATAAATGTCAGTCAAAATATGAATTAAATATTTCTAGTGCGATGTCAAAAAGTCGTTGAGCAGAGGGATTGTATAATTTGTTTCATAAAGACAGTTACAATATATGTTTCCTTTTCGTGAGAAGTTAAATTTAATGTATATTAACTTTTAATTCCAAACTGTTAATTTTCATCCATAAACCACGTAGCCTTTTGGGGGGGGCAAAATTTTAAAAAAATGAAGCTACGTGGTTTATGAATGACCCCTAATAGTAGATGATTTTAGGAAGTTCTGAAGAAAAGGTAAAAAAAAAGTAGATGATTTTAGGCAGTTCTGAAGAAAAGGTAAAGAAGTGATAGTGCAAATACCTTGAAGATTGATAGTGGACGGAAAGATGGCAGCGGCGTGACGATGAACTTCCTGGGACCGTGCGGCCATGACGGAGCAGGTGGTGGCATGGGAGCCATGATGCGCATGAGCGTGAGAATGGGCCCCATGATGGGAACCCAGTGGATTACCGGCGCCAGCTCCAGCGCCACCACTATTGCTAGGATACCCAGCCCTGGCGGCCGTGTACCGATAAGCCGCTTGGCTCATTTGCGAACACGAACTCAAGTCCCCGTAACCACATTGCATCTCACTAGCCGCTAAGGCGCAACTTGATGCCTCAAAACCGGCCGCTGCTGCAGCCGCCGCTTGATTCAAATAAGAGTAGTCCATTCTCACTTGCGGGAGAAACGCACCTCCCCCGCCACCTGGTGCTCACTTTCCTTAAAATTCCCGATTCCACTGCATCAAAGAATTCGAAAAAAAAATAATTCTCCCAAAAACAGTGTGTGATTACCGAGCGCACGCGCGCGCGCGTGGCCCTCAACTGAGCCGATTCTGAATGTTTTAGAAAAATCGTGCACCGGTCGTCTGAAGAAGAAGAAGGCACGAGATTTGTTGCTCCTCAATAGAATATAACTTCTCTCCACCTCTCTCTCTCTCTCTCTCTTTCTCTTCCAAACGCGCGGGCGAGGAGGTTATGAAAGTAATCGGATCAGCGATATCAAATTATTGCGATTATCCCTGATAGGAAAGTTTTTCGTCCCGCTAAGAGCGGCTGAGACGACCGACTGGTGGGTCTCCTCAAAATCAAATGATAAGCTTAATTCAATAACGGATGGAGGGCGCACAAGGGCGTGGCCTCCGGGAGAGAGATGGCTTCGCACCCCTTGCGAATCAACCCTATTGGCTGAAGCGCAGCATCCCCGCACAACATCCACAACTGCCATCCCTCTAAACGACTCCTCCTCCTACACCCTCTCAACCCCTTCGCAAAATTCTCATTCCATTCCAGACACCCCGCTCTCTCGCTTCACTACTATACCATCATGCTAAAACGAACAACACTCGGCGAGATCTCTCTCTCTCTCTTGCACCGATGATGCCTAATGCTTCCCAGTATGCCTTCTGCTGCAAAAACGGAAAAACCTCCTCTAAGAAAACTGATTTTAACGAAATTGTTCTTTCTACGAGTTTCCTCATCTTTTCCCCGCACTTACACAAGTGTTAGTTTTATGACTCCATTTCTGTCCCTTTTTTTTCCGACGACCTTCTTGTAATCATGGAGTATTTTATTTCTTCCCTGGATGTGCAGATATAACTTCATTCCCTTCGAATTATCCAATTACTATCGGGATCATAATTCTCTAGAATTTAACGAATTAAATCATTTTTCGGTTCAAATTTATAATCATTGGGGTATGAAACTAGTTTTTTTGGGGGGTCGTCAATAAATGTACATCGGTAACTAAAATCCTTTATAATAAATTATCTTCTCCTGAGGTTATCGACTTTAAGATTCTTGCAGTCCAATTATTTGGCTGAAAACGCATTATCGTTTAGTACACGGAAAAAAAAACGAATCACTCGTTCACGAATCTCTCGTGAACTAGTATATCACTTTTGGATAGGACACAAAATTCTTGAAAATCAACAAACACAGTTCGTCAAAATTTCATCAACTCCTTCACTAGAAAAGTAGAAACATAGTACGATTTCCGAACTTTTCGTCAAAGTTAACGAAAAATTCGTGAACTTTAAAAAAATGCTAAAAACAAGAAATAATAATTTCCAGACACTACTTTTTTTTATAGTATTTCACTTAATTTGATAACTTGACGCCTATACGCACCCAACTACACAGAATACACAATTTTATCGCCATTCAAATTCGTAATTCGCTTCACGGGATTCGAACCTAGTACCTATACCCTATAATATAATATTTCTAACAACTAACCGCCACGGCTAAATATATATACACAGTACTTTTGCAAACGACACGATTAGCTTTGCCTGCAGGTTAAAAACATTCCGTCTGACGTAAAAATTTTTTACTACTGAGAAAAGTAGCAATTACCAATTTTTCTCGAATATTTTAGTGTTGCATGTCGAACGAGTCTTGAGTCTTGATCAGTTTTGTCTGACTAGAAAATACCTGTACTACTTAAAACTAAAGTAGTTAAGAATTTTAAAATAACGTACTTTATGTCTGACTAAAAATGACATGTACTACTAATTTGAAAATATAAAGCGGAAAAAAAGCAAGTCCTGCCTAAGAACTCACAGATCAGTTGAACAAAATTTTTCCGCTCTAAAATATTATTTTACTCCCTAAAGTTTAAAATACTATAGAATAAAAATGCCTGTCTGACTGATGTTGACATCTACTACTTATTTTCTAATTAAAAGAGATGAAAATCTTCAGTCTGACTTAAAAAATTTTTCTACTATACTGTGAGAAATTTTAATATCAAATTTCAATTATTTTTTGAAAATGAAATGTCACTGATTCAACTCGCGAGAAGAGAATCACTGATAATCAGTCAAATTTCACTGATTCAGTTGAAGAAAGTGCCATTGTCCCGTTTTTTCCTGCGATAAAAGTACAAAATAATTTTTAGAATATTTTTGAAATTTTTTATTTTCTGTATAAGAGTCAGAGAAAAAGCGAAGGCGTAAATTTAAAAAAAACGTTTTGTTATTCCCCCCCCCCCCTACGTCATCTATTATGTACCATATTTATTACGCGTGAAATATGTAAAAAATCATTTAAAAATTATCGAAAATTTTATTTTTGACAATAAGAGAGGGAAAAATGTGTAAATTTTGAAGCAATTAAAAACTCATTAAAAATCAATTAACGGTAATTAACGGTAATGGTTAACACAAGGAGAGCCATTTCTTTAGTTATTAATGAACCTCGGGCCGTGTAACACCTCGCTGTCGGATTATTTTCGGGCCGTTTGGATAATCTGGATATTTCTGGATATCTTTGGTGATATTTTTGGATACGTTTGAAAAGTTTGGAAACGCTGGAAATTTTTGAACAAATTTAAATATATTGGACGTTTTTGGATAAATTTGGATGTTTTTGGATATTTTCCAAAAAAAAGTGGATTTTATCAAAAACCTTGGAAAGTGTCTGTGGCAGAAACAACGTTATCAAGTTCGAAGAAATTAAAATTTTTGTTTTTTGTGAGTGTTAGCTTGGGAAGTGCGTCATTGAACGAGAGCAGCTCCAGGGATGATCTCAGGATTGGGCTGAGACTGACCGCAGTAAGTAAAAAATTTTTTTTTAATTTTTGAAATTGAAATTTATAATTTTTAAATAGTTTTTTTTAAAAATTCTCATTGATTTAATTTTTTTAAATGTTAAATTATTTGTATTTTAATTAACTTTATTTTTTCCAAATTTAAATAATTTTATTTTAATTTTTGCAAATTCAAAATAATTTTATTTACATTATTTTCCAAAATTTAAATAATATTTTTATTTACATTTTTCCAAAATTTAAATAATTTTATTTACATTTTTCCAAAATTTAAATAATTTTTTTTACATTTTTCCAAAATTTAAATAATTTTTTTACATTTTTTTGTCCCGTTTATAAAAAACAAGAATTCAAGTTTTTGAAAATTTGCTAAAAAAAAGTCCATTTTTCCCTAAAAGTGAGAGAGACAAATGATAATTAAATTTCGAAGAAATTAATCGTCATTATCTCCTCTACGTCATAGCCATTGTCCTGATTATATTCTGAAAAAATTAAAGAAAAAAAATCCGGTGAAAAGTGAAAATAATTTTTCAAATATTGTAATATTTTTGAAAAATGTTATTTTATCAATAAGAGTGAGAGAGAGGAGTAAATTAAAAAAAATTACGTCATTACCCTCTCTACGTCATCTCTTTTGTCCCTTTTCTTACACGTGAAAATTTAAAAAATTTTATTTTTGCTCATAAGTGCGAAAAATGACTAAATTTCCAAGAAATTTAAAAGTCATTAATAATCAATTAACGGTAATTGACAACGAAGTGAAAGACATTTCTTTAGTTGTGAATGAACCTTGGGCCGAGTAACACCACGAGGTTTGGAAATTGTGGTTGGGGCTGAAACCACGTGAGATAGTGTTTTTAGTGCCCAAAGATGGCATCAACGAGTATCACTCCAGAATAAAGGTCAGACATAGAGTGTGATAGTCCGCAGTAAGTGTAAAAAAGAGTTTTTTTATTTTTTTAATTATTCTACTTTCATTATTTTACATTTTGAAAAAATTTTATAAACTTTAAATAATATTATTTTTCCAAAATGACGTCATAATCTCCTCGACGTCATTGCTTTTGTACTGTATATTTCCTGGGACTTGCGAAAGATCTAAATAATTATTTAAAATTTTCGAAAATTTTATTTTAATTTTTTCAAATTTTATTTCTATTTTTTCAAATTTTGAATAATTTTATTTTTATTTCTCAAAAATTTAAATTTTTTTATTTTTAAAATTTATAATTAATTTTATTTTTTTTAAAGATTAATTAATTTTATTTTTTTAAATATTAATTAATTTTATTTTTTAAAATTTTAATTATTTTACTTTCATTATTTTACATTTTGAAAAAATTTTATAAACTTTAAATAATATTATTTTTCCAAAAAAATTCATTTAAATTTTAATTCATTTTCCTTTTTCAAATTTTAATTAATTATATTTTTTCAAATTTTAATTAATTTATCTTCATTATTTTTAATCTACAAAAAAAATTTATAAACTTTAAATAATTTTATTTTCATTTTATCAAATTTTAAATAACTATACTTTTTTCTAAAATTTTTAATATTTTTTTCCATTTCTTTAAATTTTGAATAATTTTTGTTTTCATTTCTCAAAATTTAAATATTTTTACTTTATAAAGAATATTTAAAATTTTTTATAATTTCGTAGTTTTTTAACACGATTTTAAAACAAAATTACAGTTTTAAGAACATTGCAATGTTTTATTTTATGATTAATTTTATTCTATTAAGAATTAAAGCACAATGGGCACATGCGCTTTAAAGCGCGTATCTAGTGCTAAATTATAAAAATTGAAAAAAATATTCCAGTTAGAAGAAGTTTTGTTTTGAAATTAAAAATTATATTCACACTAAGAAAATAATGAGAAATATTGTTGCAGAGCGCGAACGTTCATAAGAAACCATATTTGTCTTTGCTAAGGACCAAAAATACATTATAGCATGTAAACCATCGAAGGAGCTATACAGGTCATATTGGCATGTAACCCTTGCAGAAGTAGTTTGTGCTATAAGCTTTTAAACAGGTTATAACCATGTAAAAGCTAGAAATTGGTTTTAAGCAAATGACTTTTGGCTTTCTTTGTTGTCTGAAAAAAAAGTTGTTCTTAATTTAACATTCAGCCTCAGTCTCCCCTACTATTAAACAATGAAATATAATTATAAAAAATAGTTTCCAATGACAAGAAAAAAGAAGTATAATATTTTTAACCAATAATGCCATTGGTTTTATTATCTTATATCTACAAACTTTATTATATTCATACATTATATGTAAATATACGTTTATTTCAAAATTGCGCTTAACAAAAGATTGAGAAAAAATAAACGGCATTTTTCCTGGTCAAAAGAATGATTTCCGAAAAAAGGAAAGAGTGGATTTGGAGGGTACCAGCCATCTCAGGGGGTTCACCAATGCCATACGTTTGATGATGATTGTTTGACTTTCATCATCTAATGATATTCTTGTTAACTTGTG